TGTTTTTCATGTATCTGTTGTCGTGTATTATGATAAGTTAGTAGGTAATTCTTTTGCCCATGTTCTCATAAATAAGATAATGCAAACTCATTAATGATGCATATAAATAGCTATTATTAATAATAATATCTAGTTGCTAAGTCTTTGCCATCGACAGGAACTGCATAAAGTGTATCCCACAAATTATTACTCATTCTTACAACAATCATCTAGCCTCATGACATTCATAGCCTTATTTCCCTAACCAGAAACTAAGCTCAGAGAAGGGAAGTGATTTGCCCAGAATGTACTTTTTGTAAGTCTTAGAAGAAAGATTCAGACAATAACCTTAAAGGCTATTCTCTTTTCATTATACCAGCGTATCATTGTCCTATCTGCACAAAATTATCAAATTGGTTCATTTAGTACCCATTCCTTTCTTCTTCTGTACAATGTACCAATTATAGCATTTATTCAAGTTTTTTTGTGAGATGAGGAAATAATCACAGAATGCATCTAAAGCACTTACAAAAGTTTGGACCAGAAACAAATGTTGGTAAATGTTAGTTTTTGGTAGTATTTATTGGTTGCATGTCAGCAATTGGCCAGGTAGATAAGATGGATAAGATGCTATTATCTTTTTTTTTTTCTAGCGGGCTTATAATTAGCATTGGGAGCATGAGAAATATAAATCTTACAGTTAATGGGCTGAAGTGATAGCACAGTGGTAGGGCGTTTGCCTTGCAGTAGGGCACTTGCCTTGCGCACGGCCGGCTAGGCCGAGCTGGGTTCACTTCCTCTGCCCCTTTCAGAGAGCCCAGCAAGCTACCTACAGTTTCCCACCTGCACAACAGAGCCTGGCAAGCTACCAGTGATGTATTCGATATGCCAAACACAGTAACAAAAGTCTCACAATGGAGATGTTATTGGGCCCGCTCGAGCAAATCGATGAACAACGGGAGGACAGTGCTACAGTGCTACAGATAATGACGATGCAGTGTAGTGAAGTAACAGCAGACACAGATCCACAGCAGAGTGACATCACAGACTGTCCACCGCTCACTCCCCTGGGTGGGAGAAAACACCTCGAGCCCAGGCATCAGTGATGACCCGGCTGGGTGGTGTTGCAAAAGGCCTGATGATGCAGGGGACATGTGAGGCGCTGGTGTGGAGGGATTGAGGCATGTGTCTCACACGCAGCCGCCGGTGCCTGATCCCTGGCACTGCATGGACCCCTGAGCCCATCCAGGTGTGCTTCAGTGGTGCCTAGCCCCCACGGCCACCCTGGGAACCTCTCCTCAACCTGGTTGAAAGTCAGTGGAAGTGTTCCCCGGGCACCCTGTATATACATTTTTTTCTTTTTGGGTCATATCCAGCGATGCACAGCGGTTACTCCTGGCACTGCACTCAGGAATTACTCCTGGCAGTGCTTGGGGGACCTTATGGGATGCTGGGAATCAAACCTGGGTCTGCCGCGTGCAAGGCAAATGCCCTACCCTCTGTGCCATTGCTCCAGCGCCTCCTTTTTTCTTGTTTTTTGGGTCATACCCAGCATTGCACAGGGGTTACTCCTGGCTCATGCACTCAGGAATTACTCCTGGCGGAGCTCAGGGACCATATGGGGTGCTGGGAATCAAACTGGGTCGGCCGTGTGCAAAGGCAAATGCCTTACCTGCTGTACTATAGCTCCAGCCCCGGTACCCTGAATATTGCTTGGGAGCCCCCCAAAACAAAATAAATCAACAAAACATTTTTTTAATTTCCCCAAAAGGGTAGGTTAATCAAAACAAAGAAAAGCTTGATTTTATTTTATTTTTAAATCCCCAAAGCTGACCGAAGTTGATATAAATTTGCCACTTTTGCGGGGAGAGGGGGGAGCCGCAAGAGACTTTTTTAGGGTCAACCTGGTCCATGTGGAATCCTCAGTTCAGCCCTTGGTCGTTGACTCTTCCTGCAGTGCTCAGGGGATCACACGGTATTGAGGATCAAAACAGGTGTGTGTAGGGGAGGGCTGCGTTGAGATGGATGCATGTGTTCCTGTCCACTGAGCTATCTCTTCGGGCCCCTAAAAACTGCTTTGTTTGTTTATTTGTTTGTTTTGGGGTCACAGCAGGCAAAGCTCTTGGCTCTGCGCTCAGGAGTGAATTCCTGATGGTGCTTGGGGGACTGGATGGGATGCCGAGGTTCAAACCCAGGTTGGCCCTTTGCCAAGCAAGCACATTACCCTCTGTATTCTCTCTCCCACTCCCCTAAAAGCTGCTTTATAAATACAATTTACACATGCTGCACCCCAAGGACATAAAGTTGCGGTGCTGCATTTGGAGAAGCAGAACAACTGGGTCTCCACGACGGAGGGTGCAGGGGAGGGCCAGGAAAGTGACCACTCAGAAGGGAAACAAAAACGTTCCCACGCCCACAGCAAGTCTTTCTTTAGCAGCAGTAGAAATCCTGAGCCTGTTTGCTTCCTTCCCAAAAAAGGAAGCCTGCTGCCTGGCCTGCTCCTCCCGTTTCTACCCCTGGGTTTTGTCCCTTTGCTGCTGGGGGCAGGGCCCCGGGGAGGCACCACCGCAGAAAGAGGCGCAGCAAGTTAGAAAAAACGTTTTCAGTCTTTCGACGTGATCTGATTAAAAAAAAAATCACAAGAACTTTGAGGAAAGCTAATTTTATACAAGAGAAGCATCAGATGAAGCAAAACAATAAACAACCGAACCCAAGAAAAGATAGATAGATATGGTAGGAACTAAAATATGTTAGCTATGTACCGTAGCTTCAGAGAGATTCAGACCTCGAGTGAGAACACAGGAAGGGGGGGGCGGAGGAAACACGGTGGGACCCCTGCTTCCACGTCTCAATCCCCCAGCACCCCACGTTTCTTCTAGCCCTTGAGCTCCACAGGGTGTTTTTCTCCCAAAGAATGGAACTTCAAAAAAGGATGGGGATTATCTACAAACAATCACACACAAAATATCAAATATACAAAGATGTGTAGCCCCCCCCAAAAAAGTCAATCAAAGATATTTTTGAAATAATGGTCCCCATAACATTGTTAGAGGAAAATTGCAACAAAAAGAAAGCTGAAATAGTAACTTAATATAAAACAAATGGAATTTGAACAACAAAAATAAGGCATAATATTTATTGATTTTCAGTAAGAGTCACAAAAAAAGAGTGTCTGCATCTTGGTGCTCCAAAGTAAACCTTCTAGAATTTCAATAAGACAGAACAGAGCTCTTTTTCAGAAATTTCTGGTGTGAGAACTTATGTGTCCCACTCTGAACTCTTAAAATGATTTGATTTCTTTTGTCAATTCAATCATCACTAGACACATTCATATTTATTGTAGTTCTAATATTCTATCATATTCTGCTGGTCCATTCTCCCTAAGTATCTTATAAGCACTCACATTTTTGTTTTGCTTTGGTTTTTTTTTTTTTTACCACATCTGGCAATGCTTCGGGCTTACTCCTGACTCAGTGCTCAGGAATCAGTCTTGACTGGGCATAGGAGACCATGTGGGATGCTGAGGATTAATCCCAGGCCAGCTACATGCAAGACAATCACCCTCCCTGTGCTACTCTCTTTTACGACTTTTTGTTTGGGTGACTTCCAAAGTGCCATAGTCAGAATTATGTTATTGTTGATGTTAATATTGTTATTGTCCTTAGAAGGAGCTAAAGAGAGAGTATTGAGTGATCATTTCCATGAGACCAGATTTCTTTTTCTTGGAGTGGGGGTATTGGGCCACATCCAGCAGTCCTCATGGGTTACTTCTGACTCTGAGCTCAGGAATTACTTCAAGAGGTGCTTAGGGGACCATATGGGGTACCGGGAATTGAACCCAGGTCAGTCATGTGCAAGACAAGTGCGCAGCCTGCTGGACTATCTCTCTGGCCCTGAGACCAGCACTCTTTCTTTCATTAGTATGACAACTCATCTATTTTTTTTTCTTTTGCTCTTTGGGTCACACCTGGTGATGCACAGGGGTTACTCCTGGCCCTTCACTCAGGAATTACTCCTGGCAGTGCTCGGAGGACCATTTGGGATGCTGGGAATCGAACCCGGGTCAGCCACATGCAAGGCAAATGCCCTAATCACTGTGCTATCGCTCCAGCCCCACTCATGGTCTTCTTTGGAACAGGTCACATAGCTTCTCTGAGTCTCAGTGAGTCTTTGAAGCAAGTAAATGGGGTTTGAATGTCATCAAGACTTCATATCCCTCTAATGGCTCTTTGTTTTATTGGTTTTCTGGACCAGCTAGCAGTGCTCAGGGCTTAGTCCTGGCTCTGTGCTCAGGGGTCACTCCTGGAGCACCTGGGGGATGGGGTGCTGGGATCAAACCCACGTGCCCCGCCCAGTTTCGATCACTCTGGACCCTAAAGATTTTTTTCTATTGCATAATTTTTTCTCATATCTTTTTTTCCCCTAAAATTACATATTGGGAGAAACACTTCTCTGATAAACTTTTTTTTTTGCTTTTTGGGTCACACCAAGCGATGCACCGGGGTTACTCCTGGCTCTGCACTCAGGAATTACTCCTGGCGGTGCTCGGGGGACCATATGGGATGCTGGGAATCGAACCCAGGTCAGCCTCGTGCAAGGCAAACGCCCTACCCACTGTGCTATCGCTCCAGCCCCTTCTCTGGTAAACTTTATGGAATATAGAAATTAACTTCTCCTTTTCTGAGTCTTGCCAAGCTGGTGGATGAAGATGGTGTGTCAGACAGATAGAGGGGGTTTGCGTGCTTGCCTTACGTCCATCTGACCTGCTTTCAATCCCTGGCACTGCATAATCCCTTAAGCATTGCCAGGAGTGATCTCTGAGTACAGGGCCAGGAGTAAGCCCAGGAAACTGCCATAGGTGGCCCTGATGTGGACAGATGATGATAACTGGTGGTGGAAAGGCTAGAGGTCACCGTTGCTTCTCAGCCTGAGGTGTTGTCCTCTGAGGTACCATTGGGGGCTGAGCAATTGTCTCTCACGTGACTTGGGCGCTATCCCTGTGACACCTCCGCCTTGTTCAGCTGCGTTGCAGGCACTCAAGAGAAAGAAGAGATTTGAGAAGCAGCTCTCTCAGATTGACGGCACACTCTCCACCATCGAGTTCCAGAGAGAAGCCCTGGAAAACTCACACACGAACACTGAGGTGTTAAGGAATATGGGCTTTGCGGCCAAAGCCATGAAATCCATTCATCAAAACATGTGAGTGACTTTGCCCTCCACCCCTGTGCCGCTCCGGTCAGGAATTCTTCAGTGCTGAGAAATCCCATGGGCTTTGATGATGATCCTGGCAGAAACGGGCTGACTCACTTGGACTTGCTTCCATGTTGGATGGATTGCTTCCTCAGATAGCCACTTACTATAGTGGTAAACAATGACCTGAAACAAAACAAAAAATGAACATGTACTTAGTCCTTAATGTTGCCCAGTTATGTGCGTATTATCCAACACTCATCTGTGCATACTTTCATTTTATAATTTTCAGAAGGTTTAAATGGTAGCGTCGGGGAGATTGTTAACGTGGCTGTCAAACTGGTGAAATTCAGAGTCACTGGGAAACTGATAAGGTCCACACAACTCACTAGCTCCTTCAGTAAGGGGGCCAGAGCCCAAGCCTTGTCCAGCAGCTGGGGCACTTGCCTTGCATGCAGCCAACCTGGGTTCAATCCCTGGCACCCCATATGAGCCTCAAAACCCCTCCAGGAAAGATACCTGAGCACAGAGTAAGCTGTGAGCATCAACGGGTATGCCCAGCTCCCTGCATTCTCCCCACCGAAAAAAGTCCTTATACAACACGTAGACCACTTGCCTACTGTCTTGCACATGACTGACCTGGGTTCAATCCCCAGCACCCCATATGGTCTCCCAGCCCACCAGGGGTGACCCCTGAGCACAGAGCCAAGAGTTAACCCTGAGCACTGTGGCATGTGGCCTAAAAACCAAAGCCAACCAATCAAAAAAAAAACAGTAAGAATTGGGCCCTTATGTTTTAAATTGAATCCCCCCCCAAATGAACCTGATGCTAGTGTTTGAGAACAGTTATCAAAAAATGATAGTTGTATTTATGGATTTGTGGTTTAGATTTTCAGGGTTCCTATCTTAGTTTCATGGGCATTTCTTTCCAGGCAAATTGCTTTGCCACTCCCTGAGAATATCCATATCTGTAAATTGAATATAATCATAGTATTTACCTTTTGGTTATTATGAGGGTCAATAAACTACTAAATACAAAGTTCTTAGCATAACTTCTGTCACCACAGTGATCCTTAGTGACTATGGTTTTGGTGCAGTGACAATTTCCTTTCCATTCTCACTTGGGAAATAAATAGCTCTGACCCAAACTTTTCCTAGAATTTGATGTGATAGTCCAGGATGATGCCCCCAAACAGTAAATTCCAGGGGTTGTAGAGAAGTTTCCGTGGATAGGAAAAGGTGGAAGGAGGGTAGGCTGGGGTCAGTGGACACATAGCCGTACTAAGAAATTTTTTGCTTTGACAATACATGGACAGTTATTATTTTGACAGATGCAAAAAGATCAGTAGGTTCATTGTCAGGGACAAAATTCTCTAGGTTGCTTTAAGCTGAGTGCTAAAAGGTATCGCAAAACCATGGCCTTTAAAAAGGTATCGCAAAACCATGGCCTTTACACATCCAGTTTACTTAGCAGTATATCTGATTGTGTTCTTTTTGAGAGAAAAATTAACTCACTTCCAGGCCCAAACTTTAACTCTTTAACTCTCCTCATCTTACTTTTAACAAATATGTTCATTAAATATTAGCTATAGGGGTGGAGCGATAGTACAGTGGGTAGGGCATTTGCCTTGCACGGGGCTGACCCGGATTCGATCTCCAGCATCCCATATGGTCTCCCGAGTAATTCCTGAGTGCAGAGGCAGGAGTAATCCCTGAACACTACTGGCTGTGACCCAAAAAAGTGTTTCCCCCATAGTAGCTATGAATATAATAATGGAGAGAACAGGTGTTAAGAATATTCTCTTTGGGGGACTGAGAACATTGGGTAGGGCATTTGCCTTGCATGCAGCTAACCTGGATTTGACCCCTGTTATGTCATATTGTTCCTCATGCTCCACTAGGAGTGATTCCTGTGCACATAGCCAGGAGTAAGCCCTGAGCACTGCAGGATGTGGCCACCTCCCCCCCCAAAAAATGCAAAATTATCTTTTGTTACTACATGAAATGATCTCACAATGCTCAAGTTTTCTTGAGATGAACCTGGGAATTTGAACAAAATGATTCATTCCTTTGGGAATTAAAGTTACAAGTTTAGGTGACTTGATAATGAGCAAAACCGTCACTGTCCATTTACCCCGTCACTTTGGCCTGTTTTCAGAGACGTGAGAGTGAGTGGAATAGAGAAGCAGGGCAGAGCCTAATGCTGAATACTGGATGCAGATTTAGGGGCCATGGGACTCTGGAGCTAGAAACTGTCTTTGTTGAAGCCGTGTTCCCCAGTCTGGGGGCCCTGCACTCCTCTGCGGACAGTTCTGAGTTTTCATGGGGGTTTCTAGTCCAGTCCCTGCTCATGCCAGTAATTCCTCAGCATAAGCAGTTACTGGAAGACCTCAGGACTATTGTCCAGGACACTGCTGGTCATTCTGAAAAAGAGCTCCCCTGTTTCACTGCACCAGACGGTGATGCTGGCTGAGAATGTCACTCCATCCACAACACCATTTCCTCAGGAGCTGATTTGCAGAAACATATGTTTGGTTTTGGGGTGTGTGTGTGTGTGTGTGTGTGTGTGTGTGTGTGTGTGTTTTGGGTCACACCCAGCGATGCTCAGAGGTTACTCCTGGCTCTGCACTCAGGAACTACTCCCGGTGGTGCTTGGGGGACCATATGGGATGCTGGAAATTGAACCTGGGTTGGCCGCATGCAAGGTAAACACCCTCCCCGCTGGGCTAATGCTCCAGCCCCGCAACATATGTTTGAATTATGTTTGATTTTTTAGTTTAGTTCTGGTTTTTTTTTGTTGTTTTTTTTTTTTTTTTCCTTTTGGGTCACACCTGGAAATGCACAGGGGTTACTCCTGACTCATGCACTGGTTATTCCTGGGTCACGCACTCAGGAATTACTCCTGGCAGTGCTTGGGGGACCATATGGGATGCTGGGAATTGAACCCAGGTAGGCTGCATGCAAAGCAAATGCCCTGCCCTCTGTGCTATTGCCCCAGTCCTACCCTCTGTGCTATCGTTGGGTGGGAAGGACTTGGCTCCAGGCCCTGAGAGTCTCATGGCTTCCACAAAGATTGGCCGTCATTCCAGCAGGGTTCGCCAGGTCACACTTCTGGTGCTGGGGTTGGACAACTCGGTGGTAGAGTTGGTAGAACTCAGGGACTGTCACATACCCGCCTCCTCATGCTCTGCTGCCTGGACCATCTTCCCAGGCCTATGTTTAATACTGGATGGCCCCACCAGACAATTGCAAAAAGGATCTACACATATTGTTGATTATGAAGCTATTGATCACCAGAGACTCCCCGATGTTAGGGCTAATAGTATGATTTTTAAAAAATATCTGTGCACAGAGCTGGAGCAAGAGGTGGTCCAGTCCAGCAGGTAGGGTGTTTGCCTTGCATGCAGCCCACCCTGGTTCAGTCTTCGGCATCACATATGGTCCTGGAGCACGGCCAGGAGTGATTGCTGAGAACAGAGTCAGGAGTAACTCCTCAGCACCTCCAGGTGTGGCCCAAACACTAAAAAAACAAACCAGCAAAACTGTACACGGATAGGGTCATTACTTTTTAGATGCAAATTATTGTAAAGGTGAACACATGACCAACTAGGAATTTTTGGTTTTATCTACTGGAAAAAAACAAAGTTTCTATGGCTTGAACTCACGGTCCCTGTAGAATTCTATCTAAGTTCATTATTTTAAATAAAAATTCTAAGACATTTCAACAAAATTTATTTCCTAGGGATCTAAACAAAATAGATGATTTGATGCAAGAGATTACAGAACAACAGGATATTGCTCAAGAAATCTCAGAGGCATTTTCTCAACGGACTGGATTTGGTGATGAATTTGATGAGGTGGGTAACTCAATATAAAACTCCCGGCTGTGGACCGGAGAGAGAGTACAGCAGGTAAGGTACTTGTCTTGCACGTAGCTTACCCAGATTCGATTCCTGGCGCCTCATATGATCCCCACGTTTCGCCACAAATAAGCCCTGAGCACTGAGCCAGGAGTAAGTCTTGACCACAATCAGAGGTAGCCCCCATACCAAAAAACCAGCACTCTTCACAGGAAGAAATGAAGTGTCTGTAGCTCCGATTTAAAGGAAAGATTAATATACTTTGGCAAACAACCCTCTAATTAAGTTTTCGGCTATTAAGGAAGAGCGGTATGTGATTATGTAAAGTTAGTGACTTTTAATGGTCGCAACCTAAATAGCCCCATTACGAGGAATTGAATGCTCGAACATGTGTGCAAAACCAAGCCGACTGTGTCACTCTGTAAGGAGCAGATGGATCATGCCTCGTCATTGTCGTCAAATTAGAGGTTAGGGTGCCTCTGTTTTTGACTCAGGCGATGAAACCAAATAAATGTGGAGTGGCTTTATTAGCACACATTCCATTTAAACTCCTCAGCCCAGTAATACAGACTATAATTGTAATGGTGCTGTCTACACTGTGAATTTCAATTGTTCTATTTAAAGCATATACAAAACAGGACTAGTATGTATTTTTGAATAACTTCAATTTCATAGATTAGTATGGTGGAGAATCTGTCTTCCCACATCTCTGTGGTAAAAAGAAATGATAGCCTCATATATATATATGTATATATATATATATATATATATATATAATGGGTTTCCACGCATTTGAGGCAATGGAATTGGGTGTCAGCAGTTTTAGATGGTGAAGGCTGGGGCTGGAAAAACAATTGACTTCTGGGCTAAATACTTTCTACCATCTATTTTTGGTGACCAGCGAGATAAGGATATATTTGTGAAAACATGTTTAAAAGGTTGCAGGAAACAGAAATAGCAGCTAAGTAGACTGTGTGACAGACACCATATGTGGCCTGCAAAGCTTAAAATATTGTTATCTGTCCACTTACAGAAAAAAAAATTGCCACTGCCTGTGTAGGCTAACAAGCATTTTCACAGTGCATTTGTGATATGTCAGGAAGGGTTCTGGGCTTCAGAGGATTTGTTCCTCAACAGTGTGATCTTTTCACTTTTCTTATCCTTAGTTTTCCTATCTGGCAGCGAAAAGTTCCTTGGAGCCAGAGAGATAGCAAAAGGGGTTAAGGCACTTACTTGTCTTGCATGTGATATAATACTCCTGAGAACCTCAAGCTAGGAGCACTGCCTGGTGAGGCCCTGAACTAAGAGAGAAAGAGAGTAAAAGGGAGAGAGAGGGAGGGATTGAGAGGGAGATGAAGAGAGAGAGAGGGGGGGGGAGAGGATAGGAGGGAGGGAGGGAGGGAGAGAGGGAGAGAAAGAAAAATAGGGAGAGAGACAGAGGGAAAGAGAGAGATTTTGAGAGTAATCAGTACCTGGATTACTGATTATCTCTGAAGTTTCTTAAAGTTTAAAATTCCTCAGTAAATGACCAAGTAAATATCTGGTAGCTGAAAGGTGAACATGATAAAGGGGAGATGAATATTCTGTTGCCATCGTACTTGCTAGAGAAAATATCAGCATCTTTTCATCTATTGATAACTGGTGAGTGGTATTGGTGATTCTGGGCACACAGACAATAATTGATAGTGGGTTCTACCATTTCTGTATTTGTTACATGTGTTTCTGATCAGTTGGGAGCAGATATAGTACATTCCAAAGGGTCTATTTTTTAATTATTTGATTTTATACTGCCAGGGATTGAACCCAAGACTCTTGCATGCAAGGCATGTACTTTTCCACTGGGCCACAGCCCAGTCCCTGAAAAACAAAAGACCTTGTGCAGTTGCTGGAGCCATAGCATAACGGGTAGGGCACTCGTCTTGCATGGATTCGATTCCCAGCATCCCATATGATCCCCCCGGCACTGCCAGGAGTAATTCCTGAGTGCAGAGCCAGGAGTAATCCCTGAGCATCTCCGAGTGTGACCCAAAAAGGAAAAAAAACAAAACAAAACAAAACCTTTTGCAGACACTTGGTTCTCATGGGCTGTGGAGAGCCGGAAAACACACACCATGATCCCGTGACAGGGCAGCTGGTCCAATGCTAAACACATTCATCTTTCTTTTGTGAAGTAATTTAGCTGAGATCAGATTTTTGTTTAAATGCTGTGATGGCTTGGAATGATGCACTTAGCCCATAAAATCATTACACCCATTTTAGTATTTATCATTAAATATTATTAATAAATAATTTATTTATTAATATTTATTATTTATTTATATACCTCTCCTCTGACTTTCAATAGTAAGCTGTTTCAGCATATGGACTATTGGCTTAAATTTGTGTTCCCAGGATAGAGTTGATACTTGACTTGTAATAAAGTCTGTAAGTTTGTTCAGCGATGTTTAAATGAAGAATCTCCTGAGTTGAAATTATACTTTTTTTTTTCCCAGGTCATTTCTGATAGTGACAACTTTAGAATTCCAATGACAATGAGTTTCGTTTTGACAGATCTGAGAGTTTGTAAGCAGAACCTGGTTTAATTCTCAGCACCCTCGTATAGTCCCCCTGAGCACCGCCAGAAATGACCCCTGAGTACAACTGGATGTGGCCCCCAAGTCCAAACAAACCAAAACCAAAACCATATTAGTTTTGACTTTCAACCTTTCTCTGAGGAGTCACGAAGCCGGTTAGAATGAATTTATCACAGAGCACCTTATATCTGTCGTCAGGCTACTTTTACTCTTAAAGTCATTTTTTAATTTAATTTAATTTTTATAAAGTTACTCACAGTAGTTCACTACAGATAATATTTAAACACTCATCCCACCACCGTGCACCTTCCCACCACCATAAGAGGAAAATGTGTGATTGTTGTATTTCATCCCGGAGCCCTTTAAGCCCTTGTATAAGAGATTACAAGCATGTTTGTTAAACCCGAACAAAACTAATGTGTGCTACTTTAGGTACATCAGTGGGCTAGAGGATAAGAGGTCACCAGGACGTTGTGGGTGGCTCTCTTCCAGGAGCTTTAGTTTATAGTTTCTGGATCTGGGTCGTTGATGAGATTACATGGCGCCAGGGGCAGTTTGTGGGTGTGACTGCCAAGCTACTGGAAAACTGGGGGCTTGGGGGAAGGAGGCCCAGTCCATTTCCTACCGAGCTTGGAGATCTCGGTCACGGGTCCTGCATACCTGGGTTTTTCTGCAGGTTCCCTCATAGATGAGGCTCGTCCGAGCATGTGGAGAGTGGCCTTGAGGATGGCTGCGATTGGGTTCTGGAGGTTTTTGGCTGCCAGGGTTCTGCTGGGACAGGGAGGGAAATTCAATCATCCCCCCCCCATTTGCCCTGGTGAAGACAGCCTGGCGGGTGATGAGGACATTCTATTTACTCTTAAAGTTAAGTATTCTCTTTTCAAGGTTCATGGGGCGAAGAATAGTTTAGGATTAAACTATACCCTCTGTGTTTATCACCAAAAGAAAGACATATGCCTAGTTTGACTTAACTTTTTCTTAAACACAAACACATAGTATGATTTATATTGGTATTGGTAATTAACAAAGTGACCAAGTGTCTCTGATCTTTTTTTTCTTTACTTTCTGTATATTATGGATTTAAAATACTTGCTGTTTTATTTTCAGTAGCATTAGCCCAGCCGAAAATATTTATTTCTTCCAATTAAACTTTCACAGATTTTTAATTCAACAGCAGAAAAGAAAAGATGCATTGACAAAATGACAAGCAATGTGTAAATTTCCTAGATACGGTGGTGGTTATATATTCAGCTAGCACAAATTGGATAACTGTTTACTGAAGTATTATAAGATTAACAACAACAAATTTGCACAGCCCCAAATATTCATTTTTTAATCATTGTTCAGTGTTGCAAAAAATACTTAGTCTTAAAATAAATATTCCGTTTCACTGGGTTCTCACATATCAATTGGGTAGCAGATGTTCTTGTTATTGTGTTTGGGGAAAGCCACTTCTTGAAACGTTAACTCCGTAATTCTTTCTTTCTCCTGTGTTCAGGATGAGTTGATGGCAGAACTTGAAGAACTGGAGCAGGAGGAATTAAATAAGAAGATGACAAACATCCGACTTCCAAATGTGCCTTCCTCCTCCCTCCCGGCCCAGCCCGCTAGGACGCCAAGCGCGGCCTCTGCACGCCAGCCCCGGGCAGGTCTGTTCCCCATAGCGACTCTACTCATTTGTCTGAGATAAAGCCAGCCCCAGCCATCCCTGTTAGCGCTTATTTTTATTTCATAAATATACATCTCTTCATACATAATTCATTCCAGCTTCCTGTGCCGAAAGCATGAATGTCATCAAGTAATAATGTTTTGGGTTTTGGACCATACCCAGCAGTGCTCAGGGACTTGGGGTTGTTTCTTCTGATGGGGGGGGGGTGGAAATGAATCACGCGGTGCTGGACTCACACCTGGCCTTCACACCTCACACGCCCTTGGCCCTTGAGTTCTCTCACTGGTTCCCAGAAAACTCATTTTGATCCATTTTCTGTTTCAGCATCTTCCCGGAGGAGGGCGGAAGACGAGGACGATGATTTCAAAGAACTGGCAGCTTGGGCCACTTAAATGAGAACAGGAATTCTTTCCATCTCTATGAGCTATGCAGGACACATGAGAAAGCATGTTTTTCCAAGTTCAGAATGTAACGAAGGTCCGATGTTGTATGTGCGACTGGATGAGTAATTGTTTTTAAACTTTGTGAGTCAAAGTTTTCAAAGGAGTTGCGTGCTGACGGAATCGGGGTGGATAGGAGCTACCTGGTCACTTCTTGCCCCATCCCCCACCTTCCCCGGGGGCTGGGGGGCATTCTATCATATTCTCTATTGTATTTCTGATGCTGGCACATAGTTGGTGCTTCCCAAACATTTGTGGAAAGGAAAACAATTCTGACGACTCATAAAGCATAAGTTTGGAGCTGGAGAGATAGCAGAGCCCTTAGGGCACTCACTTGCCTTGCAAGCAGCTGACCCGGCTTCGACCCCCATCATCCCATGAGGTCGGCCATGCATCTCCAGTAATAATTCGTAAGCACAGAACTTGGAGAAACTCCTGAGCATTGCCAGGTGTGGCCCCCAGACCAAAAAGACAAAAGAACAGAAAGCCTGCTTCTGGAAGGCCTTTATGCTGACAGCGTTTATGCTCGCTGAGGGGTATCACTATCTTTTCTGTACCCATTATGTCTTTGCTGTGGATCCACTTTAGACAGGGTGGCAGTTGCCACCACTGTAAAGACCCCATCTCTTCTGAGAGTGACTTTATGTAGAGAAGAACCCGCATGAGTCTATATGGAAATGGTTTTATTTTTATCTCGCCATTTGAAACATTAAAAGGGCTTTAATTGACATTTATTATGCCAATTAAGCTTGAAATGGGGCAATGGCTGCGTTTCCCCAAATGTCTGAGAGCACTAACAGCCTCAGCTGTTAGGAGAGTCCCCTGGGTGTCGTTGAGTCACTTAGGGAGCTGCGTTAACAGGCCCGGGCCATTATGGTGCTGTTAGGGCTCAGCTCACTAAATGTGGCAATGTTCATTCTGTCCTGTTTTGTGTTCTCTTGTACAGTTATTTACACTTTATGGCACACTCTTTGTAAATACTTAAAAATATAGGCAATTAGAAGTCTATCCTGAATAAAATTTGGGCCACTGGTGTTTGTAAATGAAAATCAGTTTCAGTTTATTTATTGCCCGTAATATGTCATGGACCATAAAATGATAGATATCATTATATGTGGGGCTGGAGAGAGAGTACAGGTTAGGGTTAGGGTTCGGATTAGTTCTGGCACCGTATCTGGATGGTTCCTGAGAACTGTCAGGAGGAATCTCTGAGAACAGGGCTACGAATAAGTCCTGAGCACTGCGGGGGTGACCTCAAACCTAATACATACCATAATAATAATGATTAGGGGCTGGAGCAATAGCACAGTGGGTAGGGCGTTTGCCTTGCACGCGGCCATCCCCGGTTCGATTCCCAGCATCCCATATGGTCCCCTGAGCACCGCCAGGGGTAATTCCTGAGTGCAGAGCCAGGAGTAACCCCTGTGCATCACCAGGTGTGACCCAAAAAGCCAAAATCATCATCATCATCATCATCATCATTAGAGGGAATGTCCTGGTATTCCCTGCACTCACTGAACAACCTTGAGGTAGTAGTCCTGAGTCCCAGCTCTTGCTCCTTCACTTATACAGGAACTGCCTAAACCTGGAACGTTTGTTTCTTCACTGAGAAATTCTTAGATTTCTGCACTAAGAAATCTCCATATCACTGTGGCTCAATCCAAACATGAACCTGTGTACGCTGTTTTTCTTGGCAGTCTCTCCAACCTCTACAACACAGATACACCATCTTAGTTCTGAAACTGCATGAAGTGTAACTGAAATATAACTCAGTTATTGTTCCTTTGCCTTTTAAGGGCTGTGAAGACACTAACTCTATTTATACCATTTGCAGTATTAGTATTCACAGACGGCATTCAATAATAGTTGTGAAATCAATAGCTGTTTTTGGTTTTAAATCTTTGTTTGAAACCTGTCACTGTCACTGTCCTGCTGCTGTTCATCAATTTGCTCAAGTGGGCCCAGTAACGTCTTCATTGTGAGACTTGTTGTTACTGTTTTTGGCATATTGAATACTTCAAGGGTAGCTTGCCAGGCTTTGCCGTGCGGGCGAGATACTATGATCAAATATAAAACCTATGATCAAATAATAGGTAGTGAAAATTTGCCTTCTATTCTGAAGCAAATACACAACTTGGCCAAAGTATAAAACAGTTTCTAGACATTGTACAATGGATGGCACTGGACTGTGATTCCGGAAAGAGAAAACATTTCAGCTGCCCACCTCACCACTCTGAGGGAAGGGCGTGGAGTCTGCTAGCCTCAGTGATGGGAGGAACCTGTCTGGGTGAGTCTTGGAACTGGGCGAGGGAGAGAAAGAGAGAGGCAGAGAGAAATGCAGAGAGATAGACAGAACAGAGATTTGCAGAGAGATCCTTTCAAGTTCTATGTTTTCAAACATATCAATTACATTTTTTTTCTTTGTGTTGAGTAATAGGATGAGCATTTAAGCTAACTTGAGAAAAAAATTTGATTTAAAGAGGTGATTGAGGTAGTTCCTGAATCAAAGGAAATGCTTAAAATGCAAATCAAAGACTCTTAAAAGGCAAATGGGAGGCTCCAGATACTCCCTCATCTAAAATGCAGACTGCTGGTTAAATAAGCAACTACCACCTGGAGCAAGTTGCTATTCTGCTTTTAAGTGAAACTGCATCACTGGGATGTTTGAGTGGCTGAGAGTGGCACAGTGACTAGCTCTGAAGCCAGCCTCTGGAACTGAGATGCAGGATGGGAGATTTACTCTAACAATCAATGCGCTCCTTTCTGGAAAAGGGAATGAATGCAAACTAATCTTAAGCAATAGGCCTTCACTCAGCCACTGTCCCTTTAGTTCCAAACTACAGCATTTTCTCATCCTTGGTAAACACAACCTGAGTATTGTTTTATTTAGTAGAAATTGAAGTGGGAAAGAGTTTGTATCCCACAATGGTATGTCTCTTATTAAAACAAATTGGATAATGTGTCAAAGTTAGTAATTCGAAGAAGGAGAAGAAAAAAGGAAACTGCAACTAATAAGGACATCTGGGACCATTACATTTACAGCCCCGGGGAACAAATTGGTGAAATGTTGGTTGCTTTTTTTTTCATCTGTTGACTTTCTTCTCCCTGTCTCCTTAATTTCAGACAGATATTAATGTTTCTACTGGAGAAAGCATTTTGTAAAATGGCAAGAAACTTCCTCCAACTTCAAATTCACTTTGCCTCATTTGTTTCTAGCTTACTGGAAGTTATTTTCAGAAGAACAAAGCTTAGCATACATGAAGGGAGTACAGACAAGACCAAGCATAGATCTGATTATGAATTATTCTCCTGAATTTCTAATATTCACAAACTATTGAAGGTTACACATGCACTGTCATTTATGCTATCAGAGAATTGAGCAGAGAGAGAAAAATTCCTCCACTTTAGGCTTCTCTATGGAGCACTGTATCCATGAAATTGTAACCATGTGCTTGATTATTTTATTATATGTAATAGGACTATAAATACACAAATATGTGTGGTTAGGCTACATGTACTTAAGTGCAGATTAAGTATGCTCCCATGCTTCCAGTATTGATATATCTGCCTTCTATACTCTTTTTTTGTTTGTTTATTTTTGGGCCATACCCAGTGATGCTCAAGGTTACTCCTGACTCTGCTCTCAGGAATTACTCCTAATAGTACTCAGGGGACCATATGGGATGCTGAAAATCAATTCTGGGTCTCCTATGTGGAGGGCAAGAGCTCTACCCACTGTTCTATTCCTCTGACCCTTCCTATGTCTTTTATATTCTTTGAAAGACTTTTCCCCTATATTTCCTAATCCCAGCTCTTGATTTTCATTGTTCCTAAAACAAGAATGGTTCACACATCCTTCATGATTGAGTTCTTTGGACTCTCTTCTTTGTATGTTTTCTTTAAAGATGAATTTTAAGTTCTAACTTCAATTGTCATGCTTAGGAAAAAAGAGTGCATGCATAAATTTATATGTTTGTCCAGTTAATAATGACTAAATACCCATAATGCCCTGCTATTTGAGCTAGTGTAGGGATTAAAACATGGTCTGAGTCATCATGGATATTTCTAGTCATGGCTTCTATATCTCAAGGACCAATTAACTAGAGATTTTATCTGGTTTTCTTGCCATATCTTAATTTCAACACTATTTTAAGTCAATTTTTTCCAATATTATTATATTCACTTCAGCTCTCTCTTGGTTACAGCTTACATGAAATATACATATTCCAAATTTTCACTCTCAACCTGTATTTGTGTTTGAATCAATAGTGAGTTTTATCAATAGTATTCAGTTGGATATTGCTTTTTAATCTACTTACTAACATCTGCCCTTGAACTGGGAAATTAATCATTCACATTTTTTTTTTTTTATTTCTTTATTGAATCACCGTGGGAAAGGTTACAAAGCTTTCAGGTTTAGGTCTCAGTCATGCAAATATCAAACACATTTCCCTTTACCAAAACTTATTTTTCACCATGAAGAACCCCAATAAAACCCCACCCCCCCACCCCTCCCAGTCCCTGTGGGGCAGATGAATTCTAGTTAACACTCTATCTGCTTTGATTAGATTCATTGTTTCAATAAAAGATTCACCACTATTATTTAGAGTTTACCCCCCCCAAATCAGACATGCTGAAAAAGCATTGTGAAGTGATTTGCTTTCTACAGCTGGGTTCAAGAATTAAATGTTGGTTTTGAATTTCTGCTATTTTACTTATTGACCCTGGAAGTATTTCTACTGAAAGTCAGATAGTTAAGAAATTGGTTTCTGTGCACTGGAGACGTGATCGTGCTGGAGAGCCGCTAGTGGGGGGCAACTGGTGGCCTCGGTAGGGCGTGAAGGGCGGAGCGAAACGCCCCCCTTCCCATGAGGTTTTAGTCGCCCCCAGTCCCCCGGCTCATACCTGCTGTCCACAAGGCTCCCATGCAGCCGCCATCTTTCTTTCCAGAGAGGAGAAGGCGACTGGGGCAACACCCTTTCCCCTCTGGACAGACCTGATGGCCTGGATTAACGCATAGTCCATTCACTTTTCTGCTCCAAGCTGCTGGGTTCTGCATTAAGTCCTTGTGCTTCTGGAGCCGTGGCCGTGCTGGAGAGCGGCTCACGGGGGGCAACTGGTGACCTCGGTAGGGCGTGAAGGATGGACCGGAACGCCCCCCTTCCCATGAGGTTTTAGTTGCCCCCACACCCCCGGCTCATACCTGCTGTCCACAAGGCTCCCATGTGGCCGCCATCTTTCTTTCCAGAGGGAGGAGGGCAGAAGGGACCAACACCCTTTCCCCTCCGGGCAGACATGATGGCCTGGATTAACGCATAGTCCTTTCACTCTTCTGCTCCAAGCTGTTGGGTTCTGCATTAAGTCCTTGTGCTTCTGGGGCTGTGGCCGTGCTGGAGAGCCGCTCGTGGGGGGCAACTGGTGACCTCGGTAGGGCGTGAAGGACGGACTGGAACGCCCCCCTTCCCATGAGGTTTTAGTCGCCCCCACACCCCCGGCTCATACCTGCTGTCCACAAGGCTCCCATGTGGCCGCCATCTTTCTTTCCAGAGGGAGGAGGGCGGAAGGGACCAACACCCTTTCCCCTCCAGGCAGACATGATGGCCTGGATTAACGCATAGTCCATTCACTTTTCTGCTCCAAGCTGCTGGGTTCTGCATTAAGTCCTTGTGCTTCTGGGGCTGTGGCCGTGCTGGAGAGCCGCTCACGGGGGGCAACTGGTGACCTCGGTAGGGCGTGAAGGACGGACTGGAACGCCCCCCTTCCCATGAGGTTTTAGTCGCCCCCACACCCCCGGCTCATACCTGCTGTCCACAAGGCTCCCATGTGGCCGCCATCTTTCTTTCCAGAGGGAGGAGGGCGGAAGGGACCAACACCCTTTCCCCTCCGGGCAGACATGATGGCCTGGATTAACGCATAGTCCTTTCACTTTTCTGCTCCAAGCTGCTGGGTTCTGCATTAAGTCCTTGTGCTTCTGGGGCTGTGGCCGTGCTGGAGAGCCGCTCGTGGGGGGCAACTGGTGACCTCGGTAGGGCGTGAA